CAGTGCGTGGGGATCCCCTGTTTTGGGGAGGGGAAGCAGGGGAGGGTGAAGGTGGGATTCATCTGAGCCCATCCCGGAGCCACCGAGCCCCAGTCCTGGCTGGATGCAAGCGGACCCCATGCGGAGCATCACCCGGGCGCGCTGTTGGCATCCCCCCCTTGGGGAAGCAGAAGCCAGGTTGGGAGAGCGGAGGGGGCTGGGGGTGCGTGCTCAATCAAAAGGACAATTAAAGTCCGGACAGCTGCAAAAGGGAGGAAAACCCTTCACTTCTCAGCAAGAGAGTCTGAGTCTTTGGAGCTGTTTGGAAACCTTGGAGACGTGGCGATCTGAGGTCCCAGATCCCCCAAGCGGGGACGGGTTTGGATGCAGCCCCATGGCTGAACCCCATCGGTAGTTTAAAGATTTACCCCCGGGTGGTGTAAATCACCCGCGGGAGGCTGTAAGTGCAGCGCAGCCAGAGCTCGCCTTCTCCTCTGCTGTCGGTGCTAGCCAGCCTGAACTTCGCCGTGCTCCGGAGGGAAGCTCTGCATCCCAAGCACGAGCCCCGAGAGGGGGTCGGAGCTGCAATGGGAGCCCCGGGGGGGTCGGAGCTGCAATGGGAGCCCCCACGCTCCCCCGGGGGGATGCGCTCCGCAGCCACACGGAACAACACATGGGTGCGTGGGGCTCGATGCAGTCCTGGGGGGACCCAGGCGGTCCCCGCAATGGCAGGATAATTGCGCATCGAACCATCCCGCAGTCATCCCTAGAGACCAAATGGAATACAAAATTAACCCTTTCAGCCCTGGGGCTCTCCAAGGAGAGCCCTTTCTGAGGTTCCTTGTGTTCAGGATGGGGAAAAAAAAAAAACCAAACCCCTCCTTATAAGGCTGCATGGATGTGCTGACGCCTCCCTGCCTGCATCCGCTCCTTCCGACCAGGCGCTTTGCTTGTGTTCTTGCGCTCCAGCCAATTTTTAATCAATTTAATTGGCTCCGCTTCTCATACAACCCCATGCGCTCTGGCTTTGGGTGGCTGCCTAACAGATGACACAGAATCAGGTGCTTTCTAGAAATTGAGCCCGACTTGTCTCGCTCTCTCCCTGGTAATGTGGTCGCCTCTTTGAAGGCAATGATATACGCTTCCTGCGGGATCCTTGGTTATCTCCGCAGAGCAGGTTTGCTAAATTACATGCTTGTTCCATCAAATCCCTTCTCTGACTGGTTTGAAACCCAGCGGTGGTGTGGAGGGTGAGTGGACGCCGAATCCCTCTAACGGAGCCGGGCAGGAGGAGCTGCCTGGGGCAGAGATGCCGGGGCCGAAGGAGCAGAAAGCCCAGCTCCGGTGGGAAGCCACATTCCTGAGGTAGATGCACAGATCCTGGCTGGCACGGCGTGGGTGTGCAGGGGCACAATGTGGGGAATGTTTGCTGATGGCCACTGGGGACAAAGTGCCCCTGAATTTGCATGGGGAAGGCAAGCTCATAGAATCACAGAATGTTTTGGGTTGGAAGGGACCCCTAGAGGTCACCCAGCCCAACCCCCCCGCAGGAGCAGGGACACCTTGAACCACATCAGGTTGCTCACAGCCCCGTCCAACCTGGCCTGGAATGTTCCCAGGGATGGGGCCTCCACCCCCTCTCTGGGCAACCCCTGCCAGGGTTTCACCACCCTCACTGTAAAGAATTTCTTCCTTAGATCCAGTCTAAACCTCCCCTGCTTCAGTTTAAAGCCATCCCCCCTTGTCCTGTCCCAGCTGGCCCTACTAAAAAGACTAAAAAGCTCGGCGTGGGAACGTGTCAGTCCCGCTTGGCGTTAGCTTCTTAGCTGTGGTTTTGAGGGGGCTCAGTACTGTACCCCGGCTTTGGAGAGGTTCATTCTCCCTTTGCACGCTTACTCTGTTCCCTTCCTCCTGGTGCGCAGCTTCTCCATCCTCTCCCTCCTGGGCTCTGCGCTCCCACCTCACTGGTTTGTTCTTGCCCTCTTCCCACTCATTTTCCACCAATTTCACTTCCCGTTCCTGCTGCCTTTCCAAGCCTCTCTGCACGGTCTGTCCATTCCATCCCCATTCCTGTCATTAACACCTTGAAGGGCTTAATCATCCCGTCCCTTAGCTGTGCTCCTGTGCTCCCTTCAGCCTCCCAGCCACGGGTTTCTCTGTCCACGCCAGGAAATCACCCCCCGGCATCACCGGTGCATTTTGAAGCTGGAAAGATGCTTTGTACCAAGGCCACGTGGAAGGGTTTGCTTTGATCCTGTCTGTCCACAGCATTGGGCGCGTGGGTTGGCTCCTGAGCCCCAAGGCAGCCTGGAAGGCCCTTTGCATTAGCTTGGACCTTGAGGACTGAGTGTGAAGATGAGTTGTGTTGCCTCACTCT